GGGGGGTGTCATCTCATGTAAAGTTTTTTTTTTTTTTGGGGGGGGGGGGGGGGGGGGGTATGGACGTTGTTGGGCAGTAGTTGTTTCGAGAAGGGAACGAGACAGAAAAGGATAGTGTTAACTACCGCATGTACCTATATTTTGCATGCCTTCGCGGCTACCACCTGACCACTCGTTGACATATACGAACGAACGCGTGGTCTCGCACTACCAAGCGCTGCGTTTATCTTTTCATGATCAATGCATGGCCTCGGTTTCGTCTCACTACTCAACGGCGGCCATGCTGGCGTTTTTCTGCTTTTTTCTGGCACCCCAAGTCACTCGAGGGTTCTTGTCCTTCGTTTTGTTTTTCCCGATAAATACATCTGTGTGTTTTGTCTGTGTAAGTATGTGTAGAGTACCTGTGTGGAGTAGTTGGCGTGTGACTATGGAAGGCGTCCCCGTCAGTGGTACTGAGCAGAGACAGGAGAAAACGTGTGCTGTATCCTTTATGAAGATAACGAACACATGGAGATAGATATACACATCAGCACCAACAAGGAAAGAGGAACAAGAAGAAGAAACAACAACAACAACAACAACAATCAGGTCCGGGTAAGCAATGGAGGTCAAGCAATCAGGTCCGGGTGTCATCTCACCTCGTCCGCTACATACCTCGCTCGTGACAAATCGGGTGTCCGCTTGTCGGTACAGACCAAGGAATTAAAAGAATATTCCTCGGTGAGAAAAGAAGAACAACAACCCTTAATCTCTCCTCTCACCTGGGCTTGTATCCAGCGAAGTTTCTCTCTCCCTCGATGGACGGGGGCAGGAAACGCATCACCACTCCTAGGGGAAGCACGGCCGCTCCCATCAGTATGGTCGTCGCCCACTCTTCGCTATTCAAGTCCTCGGTCCTGGTTTTAGATGTACACGCAAAGACATCGATCGAAACAGACACGGCATGAATTATATTCGTCTCTTCCTTAAAAAAAAGAAGACAAGAAGATACTGGTAAGCAGCAACACCTCAGAGGAGGCCTTCGCCGTACTGTGTCAGGGTTACGCTTGGAATTTGGGGTTATTGAAAGGGATAAGGTCTTTGATTCCTGAGGCAAATCACTCAAACCGAAGTCTTGGGGGGGACAAATTGTGTCCCACCACCAACCACGAACAAGGAAGATTCGTGTGCCTGGTACTGTCACTCTCAAGTTTTCACTACTATATATTTTCTGGCGAGAAAAGGCGAGAAAAGGCACCCATGTAGTGTTGTCTGTGACAGTGTGAACATTCTCTTGAGAGTGTACGTTGATGTTTGCCCACGAAAGGGGACGGGATGGAGCGGGACGGGGGTGTCCATCTTCGCTGTGCCGCACCACTACTTTCCACGCACCTCGTGAAGCTGCCCCCTTCCTGCACGATGAGGAACTGCGCCAGCAGGGTGAAGACGATGACACCGAGGAACATGGGGTTCTTCAGGCCCTTGACGATGTTCCAGCCGTTCGTGATGGACCGCGCGTTGAACTCGTTGAAGATCTGAATGAGGAAATTTCGGAGGTAAAAGTTATTGGTACATTTGGCCGTCGCGTTCTTTCGCGCTGGGGGCCATAGAGAGAGAGAGAGAGAGAGAGAGAGAGAGAGAGAGAGAGATCGAAAGCTGATCTGGATGTTCGAAAATCAAGACGAGTGCAGTGCACTGATACGAAGCACGAGAAGAAGAGGAACAACGCGCGCAAGGTGCCACGTGGATGAGGCTATGATAACCGATCTATCTCCTTACATGTAGCGGGCAATCGACCAATGACGGCAACAAACCAAGCACGCTACATCTGCTTTTCCTTGGTGTAAATACTCCCCGCCTTTTTTACAGTTTTCGATGCGCTTCCGTTTGTTGTAAAAGTTGGTGTGGCAAGGTCGTGTGTTTGGTGTATGCCCTTTTGTCTCTGTTGTTGGTTTTGACGTTGTGTTGTCGCCATCAATGAAGTATCCGTCAAAGGTCTCCACGCGCACCTGGCAGAACACGAAGGCGTTGAAGACGATGGTGAAGTGCTTCGGCGAACCGTCCGGCACCCCGAAGAACTCCGCTCCGGCCAGCAGCAGCCACCTTTGGCAAAACAAAAAACAACAGCAGTGGCAGCAGCAGCAGCAGCAACAACAACATCAACAACAACAAACAACAGCAAACAACACGCGGCAGGCAGCAGATGTACGATACAATGAGGGGTGATATATGGCGTGGTTAGGCCTATAGGCCCACTCCGCTCCAATTGTATTATTTAATCCCTTGCGGTACTTGAGGTATGCCGAATGTGCAAGGTTTGGGTAGCCAGGATTCCCAACCATCAACGCACGGCATGTCTGGTTTGGCACAGCAAATGCAAGGATGATGGCACTACCAGCTTCTGGTCTATCCTTGTCAAACGTACCATGGGCCGGCCGGCAAAAACCCGGCAGTACATATCGCTCGGTCCCGGTACTACTGTAGGGATGCAAGGTCTACCGACTACGGCATCATGTGTTTACATGAGGACCCCCCCCCGTCCCCTCGCGGACGCACGGTCAATGGTGTACCCGCTACAGCAAGGCACCCAAAACACGAGAACCCTCGCCTCCGCCCCGAACCAAGTCAAGCCTCTCACGTGAGCAGGACCAGCTGGTAGACAGCCTGCACGGCGATGTGGCGCCACATGATCCGGTTAATCAGGGACGAGTTTCGCTTGTAGGGCCTTCGCCGAAGCAGCGCCAGCGTGGGGGGCTCCGTGCCCAGGGCGAGGGCCCCCATGGTGTCCATGATGAGGTTGACCCAGAGCATCATCACGGCGTTCAGGGGAGGCTCGTAGCCGCTCACGGCGCTGAGGAACGTCAGCGTCAACGCCACCACTGTAGTCGTAGATTGGAAGTGAGGGGGGGGGGGTGCACGACGCGTCGCAGATTGAGTTCATCGGGGCGGGGGGG